AATAATTCGTTAGTGGAGATCGCCGGTACGAAACTGGGTCCGCATGTTGTTTTTAGAGCTTTTTATTAATTTAACAGTGCTCAATGAATTACAAAAAGTGCCGGATCATCGAAAGAGACACGAGCGCTTAGAAGTGGCTTCAAAACAAACCGGATAGTCGTCCCGACGAATTCGAACCTCCGAACGCGACTTGCGGTGACCGTGCCGCTTAATTCGCCCCACACGTCTCTCGCTAACGGAACCGTCGTATATTGTTTTTTGCGACGCGACGGTGAGTAACGGTACCGACTTATGTTCGAGTCGCCCGTTGCCTGGCAACGGTGTCGTTCACCACGAACGCCACTCGGCACCTCAACTGAGCCAACTCCTCGCTGATAGACCAACTGGATCACAATCGATGATGAACACTATAACGGCCGTTCCAACTATTCCATATCGACAGGATTTATAGTGACAGTTCTGTCAGAAAATCATGGTTTTGAAAGTGGCAAGCGAGCTGGCGGTTCATCAGATGTTAAGTGATAACCGCCATGGACATTTTCAACACCCGTAGGGTTACAGATGCGTTGCCACCTTTTGCAATAAAGTGGGCCCCGGCTACTACACTTACCAGAATAAACGCAGAAGTATAACACATCCAATGCCTGACGGACCTACTCATTCTTGCGTGGCCCTACCACACACAGGTTTGTTAATTTGTTATGGTGTACCAACTAAATTGGCGTATGCATCCAACATATTTAATTAGACGTTGTAAATGATTATTTTATTATACATCAATCTAAATTACCGGCAGACAGAATCTTAAGGAAAATATTCATAGGAAGGTTAACAATATCTCGTAACATATTTGTAATTGCTTCTTAGTATGCTATAAGGCTTTTTTAAGTTTCAAACTTTTGCATTCTAACGTTTGCATCTTGTATCGTTTCATTCTTCCGTTATAAATAACAGAATGTACGGCAGAAGAGTCGAGCAATTTTCAGGTATTTGATCCTTCTGTCAGCATATATTGAAGGTGGTGAAGACACCTTTTATTGTAGCTTTATCGTCACTCATCATAAGACAGCATAAAATTCAATTGTGAGAATTGGAAAAAAATACTTTTAGCAGACATTTGTTAAACAGATCAGGGTAAACGGATACAGCACGTTTATAATAACAACTTTATAGATATCAAACGTTTCCCATCACTACAGTAGATCTCGAGTGCGTATAAACAAAAAATAATTAGTACACGCTAATTATAATCCAATCCATTAAATAAATCACATTTATTTATTTATTTATTTATTTATTTATTAGAGTAGGAACGTTAAGCAAAGACTTCGAGACACGGTACACCAAGACGGAGATGCTAGTAGTAAGGACTCGTAGGCGTCTGCGCAAATTAACAAAACAAGTTTCGTTTGGAAGGTCAATAATGCATTCAATAATAATATCGTTTATTGCCAAGGACGAAAGTACGTTTAGTTCGATACATAAACATAAACACATCGTAATGGAATTCCTTGAGAAAATGTCAACGTATAATGCAACTCAATACAAGACTTGAGCTGACTTTTATGTCTTTTTCAAGCCCTAATATTGCTAGCTTTAACCAGCCACGCGAGAGTTCTTCTGTAGCAATAATGGGCCATTCCGGAAACATATTCCACGATGATTATTTATAGTATGTTTCGCCGTGTTTTTTCCCCATAGAACTGGTCAGGCCGCATTTGAAATGAGCCTGCGAGTTGGACTTCGAGATACACGAACGTATTTGATCAATAAACGAACGGCACGTGCGATCGTAAGCGTGAATATGTAAGCCTAGAGACGCCTCACTTTCCACGGATAGGTGTTTTTCTATAACAAAGGGAATTTGAAAGCTGGCGGTTCACCTGATGTTCAAGTGATAACCGATTGACATTCGCAACCCTAATGCGTTGCCGCCTCTCAATAAAGTAGACCCCGTCTACCTCAATCAACAGACAAAACGCAGAAGTATTACACTTGCACTTCTCGCCGGTCTTCTGTGGTTTCATGGTACTTTCCAGGACGGACCTGCCCATTCGTGCAATAAGCGAAGACTCCAATGTTTTTCGACTATTGTTCAAACTCAAGAACATTCCAGCCATAAGGCGTGAATTCGATGACGAAGTGGCGCAGTTGCCAAGGCTTCGACGTCGGGTGTCGTGGGTTCGATTCTCACACGGGACAACTATTTGTGTGACCCACAGATAGTTGTTTCGCATTTGAGTGTTTGTCCACGTGAAATTTATGTTAATTTATACAGGATAATGTTATCCTAAAATAAGTGCAACGTTTTTAAACAAGATAAAAACAACAAAAAGAAAAAGTGATATTGAACAGGTACAAAACTCATTGTTCACATTCGAATGAACGAATCGAATGGATTAATTCATTCGCCGTTATGAATGAGCGTTTTAATAATAAACGTCACATGAACATAACCGTGAGTAACTTAACACCGCTGCCGATGAGTCAGGTCCGGTTTTTCTAATTTGCGTGGAAATCTAACCCGAGTTCTATGCGTTATGTAAGCTGTTGAGATGCTCGTTGCTTTATCATATTTATTCTGTAACCGTGGTAGGACCACGCAAGAGTCCTCGCTGTTGCACGAATGGGCAGTTACGTCCGGGTAAGTACCACGACCTCACGGAAGACCGCCGTTGAGTGCAAGTGTAATACTTCTGCGTTTCGTCTGGTGAGTGAGGTAGCCGGGCTCCACTTTATTGAAAGGCGGCAACGCATTTGCCACCATGCGGCGGTTATCACTTGCATCGGGTGAACCGCCAGTTCGCTTGCCACGTTCTCACATAAAAAAAAAATGTCGTAGGTTCATTGGAAACACCATAGATATTAAATATACCCATAACTCCTTCTCATAATACCACCTTTGTGAGGTCGACAAACCATTTGAATGATGTTATTAACCATATTGGCTATGTTTAACGTCAACCCTTCTTTGGAATAAATATACACAGATCCTGAACAACTATTTGTACCGTGTGGAATGAAGACACGATCCGCGTCGAAAGTAACAGTTTCGCAATTGCGACACCTACCTATAAAATAACCAATCAATGTTCTACAACTCCTAGTATAAATTATTTTGCTCCTTCATTTAAGGATTTCACCTTTACAAGCGAATTTCTATTCTGCTCGGGAATCGAATCCCCCTCACGCTTCATAAAAGCGGCGGAAAACTTGCTCATTGAGCAATTCGCTTTCTATCTTCTGCATTCCGTATGTTCTGAGCGGCCCGCCCTTATAGAAGTTGGTTAAGGTATACCTTCAGCCCCTAACAGCGATTCATTGACATTAATGTTATTTCTTCATCACGCATTCACATTCCTTTTGAGTAAGCTTCGACATACTTTACAATTAATTCTAGTTAAGGGCTAATTCACACCTCTGAGTGCGGCCGTAAGTCGCTGGGATTATTTAATTTGTAAAATATTTATTTAACAGTTAATATATTTAATTTCTGTAATTTCAGACGGCCTTGAATGTCAATTTCACAACAATATCTTTCCACGAGCACCCGGAAACGCGCTTGTATTATGCATAATATATTGATACTAACTTACTTTCAAGCAATTAATATTATCTTATTAACTTTTAAACCTTAAAAGGTGAATTTAATTTGTATTATGATTCGTCAGTATATGATGATATATAAAATTTTCGACCGTTCCCTTCCATTGATATGGATTTAATTTAATGCCCGTTTGACATATAAGATGTGGCATCCGCGTAGGCGCGAAGGCCGTTCTCAAAATTGTGAATTTATTTTTTTACATCTCATCAAGGAAATATATTCACGTATGCTAATTAAATACAGAGTGGGAAACTAACGACTAACTGTCGAGCACGATTCGAACCTAGTACCTCGTCTAATGCGGCGAGTGTATCCGCCGTTGGCCCGTGAAGATTATTCGTTAGCCGCATAGTAATAGCTACTGTGCAATTGCAGCCGTTGTGTGCAAACGGGCTGACGGCCGGCTTAATTTACGTATATATTTACGATTAGCTCGTTAACGCTTATGTGCTCCTGGTACCTTGTTTGTGTGAAAAGTTGGCGAGCGAGCCGGCTGTTCACCTGATGTTAAGTGATAACTGCCGCCCTTTGGCATTTCGAACTCCAGTAGGGTTGCAGAGTCGTTGCCACATTTTAATAAAGTGAAGCCAGCCAGAAAGTAAGCCCCGGCTACCTCACTCATCAGACGAAAGACAAGTATAACACTACCATTTTACGCTGGACTTATGCAAGATCGTGGTACATACCCGGGCGGAACTGCTCATTCGTGCAACAGAGAAGATTGTTGCGTGGCCTTACCACAGTACATGCTGATCTAATATATTGTCTGGTAGCGCGGCAGTGGAGGCTATCGCCTTTTGTGCGAAAAGTTGGCAAGCGAGCAGGTTACACTCGATGTACAGTGTTTACCGCCACCCATGGACATCAAGAACACCAGTTGGTTTGCAGATGCGAGTCTCACAAAAGTCTTTGACTTTCTATTGGTGTTCTGTGTGGCCGTGGTACATTCGTGCAACGGCATAAGCTGTTCCATGGCCCTACCACAGTTAAAACGTTAACCCTTTTACAGAACGATGTTTTTGGAAACGAAATATAATATAAATGTTAACCGCGACGGTTTATAGGATGACCCAAGAAGGAAGAGTTGTTAATGGCGGTTGTTTTGCTTGTGCTCATATTAACTGAATATCCGTCATTCAAAATTATTCATCGTAACTTCAAGGTTAGGTTTCTAGGTCGCAGCAAGAGGTCGATAATCGATGCAAGTTTGAGAGTCTCCTCTTTGACAAAGTCAAGGTGAAATTTGAAAGGAATTTATCCATTCATGACTGAAGCAAAAACACCAACGCCCGTAGTAATCTGTGGAGGACAGATCGTTATAGCGCGCGGTAATCGAACCCACGACCCACACGCCGTCAAATTGTATCGCTCAGCGACCGCGAGTTAGTCATTAGTGCATTCCACGTCGAGTTTGACGTGTACCACGAGGCACCTCCACGTCCCGACAGGTGCGGTGTACGACCAGCGAAGTGGCGTGCAAAACCGCCTTCTCCTTCTTACTGGTTCGCGGTCTGATAAGATGGAGTGAGACGCGAGATGATCCGGCCGACGCGCGTGTTTCGTCCCCCCCTCTCCGAAGGTCCATTCCGATCCCCGCCTCCGGTCGGGGGCCTTGACCCTGCGCCTTGGTCGCCGCCCAGACGCCGCCAGGGATGTCGAAAGTGAAGAAATATATCGTTATAATTGTGGACTATACATATTTATAAAAATACTAGCAGACCTATTTTTGACTAGCAGACTTTGTTCAGTACACACGACTTAAATCCGACAACAACTTGTAAACAAAAAAAATAAAAAAAACATTGTAGTGGACCGAATTGTGAATCTAAATCATTCTCGAGTCTACCTAAGAGTCACAAAACAACTCAAAAAAAGGCATGTCAAATATTAAATATTTGACACCTACGGACTCTGAGTTGGATTCGAATTTGAAAAAACATCGCTTTTGATAAAATTTTCGATATTGAATATTTTGTATCGATATATTGGATCCAAATATATCGGCTTTAAATATCTATATACATATAATCAAAACTATCGATATGTCGATATTTTTTCGACAGCCCTAGACGCCGCTCAGACCATTCGAGCGCGCGCGGAAGAGCTATGGCTAATATCGCATACCTTACCGCGCCTTTCGTCCGCAGTCAAGGAATTGGTTATTTATCAGCTTTTAGCCCAGAAAATAGGTCACTTACATTATAAATGCTTTTGTATTGCAAGCTGCACTATGTGCCTATAATACTCAATGCGATGCAATACGATTGTATCTGTTCTGGCTATTAGTGTTGTAAATGTATGTAAAAAGGAAGCTTACATTAAAACTTTGTTATTTTGTTAGTCATTTAATTGCTACTCGTTTTCGTTTTATCATTGTTAGTGTTTGTTATTTAGTTTTTAAAGAAATCTTGTATTTGAAATACGTAATTATGTAAAACTAACTGTGCCCGCGACTTTATTCGCGTGGAATTTATAATAATTAAAATTTCTAAAATAAAAGTAGCCTAAGTTACTCCTTATTACATCTATCTGCCAGTGAAACTCCCGTCAAAATAGGTCCAGCCGTTACAGAGATTAGCCGGAACAAACAGACAGACAGACAGACAGAAATAAAAAAAATATTTTTACCATGAACATATATAATATTCCATATGCATTTAGCAAAAAGCGGTTTTACTATTACAAAGAGACACTCCAATTTTATTTATCTGTGAGCAGACAGACAGACAGCGGAGTCTTAGTAATAGGGACCCGTTTTACCCTTTGGGTACGGAACCCTTAAAACATGGCTAATACTATATATTAATGTGATTGTGATACGGACAAAAGAAAAAATAAGTTGGATGATATAAGTTTTGCCTTTGTTGCCCGTTCCGAAAAGTTACGACGAAGCGACTTCCATTGACTTCCTTCACGATTGCGTCCTTCATGTATTTGCGCTCACCAACTAAGCATAAAGTGCGTTGACTTATTTCTTACCCCGCTCCGCTCTGGCAGACCAATATAAGATACGTTAAACCTTCCACCGTACAAGGTCGTATGATATTATTAATAGTAGTAACGAGAAAAGACTTCTTTCATAACGGGTTTTTATTAGTTACAAGATCTGAATTTACGTATTGCGCTTGCCAACTAAATGCAGGGTATGTTTATTTTTATATAATTCTACTGTACATGTTATGTCACTGAAGCCCAAAACGGCTGGACCGATTTTAATGAAATTTTTTGTGTGTCTTCAGGTCGATTGGACAATGGTTTAGATTCACAATTTTTTATTTTATTTTAATTTTTTTAAGTCATGGGATTTAGGTAGTGTGTACAGGACAACGTCTGCTCGGTCCGCTAGTATAGTTATATATTGTAAATTTTTTTTTAATATTTTGAAGACTATTGCCTATGGGCTATTTACACAATGTGGTAGGGCCACGCAGTAGCTTCTGATGTTGCACATATGTGCAGACTCGTCCGGGGAAGTACCGCTTGCCAACTTTTCACACAATAAAGAAACGCATTTGCACAATTGTTTGTGTGCTGTAAAGGACATAACAATATATGTGCCAAACATTGCTTAAAATGCGAAAAGAAAAAACAACTTATACGAAATACGTTGAGTTTTCGTCGTTGTGGCAATCACTCGTTTAACTCGGTGGTTAAAGTGTCTGGGCGTGAATCCGCATAGTAGACTAAGGTTCGATTCCATTCCATTCCATGCAGCGGGGATATTTCGTAAATTTTTTGAACAAACTTTAATTAAATCGTGTTTTTTGTTTTCATAATTAATCAAACGTGTGGTATTGTTTTAAATTAACAAATCAAGAAATAAAAAAGAGTCACTCCCGTCGGGAAATTCAACCTCTGTAGATTACAGAATTCCTTCGTCTCACCCGGGATTTACCCGGAGAAGTCAATGACTGATGAGTCAGCGGTTTTCCTCGAACAGTCCACGCTCTTAATGTAGCTGGCAGAGTAAAAAACTAAGTATAGTGTTGCCACTTAATACAGTAAAGGAATGCAAGAAGGAAATCGGGGCGTTTTCGCTGTCTCTTTTCCGAATTTGTGTTTGCAAAACTTGCTGTCTCTTATTGCGCTATCCGAGCGGTAAAACTTTTCCCGTATCACTACATAATATAAAACAAAATCGTCCCGCTATCTGTCCTTATGTATGCCTAGATCTAGAGAACTACGCAACGGATCTTGATGCGGTTTTCTTTACTAGATGGAGTGATTCAAGAGGAAGGTTTATAATGTATGATATGATGATCTTGAAAAGTGTGGCCCTCGGGCAATAAAAGTCCATGGCTGTGGTCTTCTCTCATATGAGTCTGGTCCATTGGTAGAGTGGTGGGTCCGTGGCACTGTGGCCAAGGCTTCAAGCCAATAGTTTCGGCGTCGGGGGTCATAGGCTCGATTCCCACACGGGACAACAATTTGTGCGACCCACGGATAGCTGTCTCGCATCTGGGTGTTAATCCGCGTGAAATTTATGTTTGTAAAACGTCCTTACAACACAGGATAATGTTATCCTAAAGTAAAAAAAATCTGCACCTGAAAGTTACAATTCCTGAAGTTGCGGTCTATATCCCGACCATCGAAGTTCTATTCACTTTTGCGCTGACTCAAAACGCTTAGTCTAGAATGAAACTTGTTGTTTGAAAAGTTTTTGCACGGTTTTGGAATATCTGAAAAGCAACTGGTTTCTAGGTATCTCTCTGTTTTACTAGCTCTTGGTAAGCGCACAATGATAGCCTGAGAGAAATTTTGTTGATTTATATAATAAAATATTTTGTTACCAACCAGTTTTTTCTGATTATACGTTTTGCAAATGACCACCAGTTGCTTACATTTGTAGTATCATATGGGCACAAGATCTGCTATGAGGCGAGCTGAAAAAGAACCTTAATTGCTCATTGTTTGTAGCCGGTAGTAGGTAGATTATTCCGTATCATAGAACCGTTTTACAAAGAGACATTTCACAAGGATCTCCTGTGAATATTGCTTGGCATACGTGAGAGTTATTTAGCCTGGACAACTTTGATTGGATTATTATTCAGTTAAATCGAAGCCAAGTGAGGGTCTGATATTACTGATACGATCGCGCGCACTGAAATTAGGATGTTTCTTTATTTCAATAGCATCGCAAATCGTCTTTGGATTCTTGCGATTGTTTTGGCTTAGTTTTGGGCAGTATAGAGAACATCATGTTAGATGTTTAAAGTCATCACCAGTTTCTTTTGTACGTGAGAAGGTAGCAAGCGTGCTGGTGGATCAAATGATGTAATGTGATAACCGCCGCCCGTGGACATTTGTAACACACGCAGGGTTGCAGATGCTACGTTTTAATAAGGCGGGCACCGGCTACATCGCTGACACAGATCTGCCCATTTGTGTAACAGAGAAGACTGCCAATTCGGTCTATAGGCCAGTTTATCGGTGGCAGGGCCACGTAGCAGCCTCGGCTGTTGGAATGGGCAGGCTCGTCCGGGTAAGTACTACGACCTCACAGAAGACCGGCGTGAAGTGGAAGTATAATACTTTCGCGTTTCGTCCGGTGAGTGAGGCATCTGCAAACCCACGGGTGTAGCAGATGTCCATTGGCAGCGGTATTCATTTAACATCAGGTGAACCGTCTGTTCTTGCGGCAACTTTTCACATAAAAAAAAAATTATATCATGCAGCTTATCCCAGAGTAGAATCAAACGTTTAATTCTACCGCTTTTTTTGTTGGCTGACAGTAGCTAAAGAGTCTAAGCCAAAGGTCGACACGAACGCATTCGCTAAAGACCTCCAATCACCAAGCGTAATCACGAATCTCCCATCGGAGTGATGCAACCGTTAGTTTTTAATGTGCACTTACCATTGATCGCCGTGTCGGTACCACGGTACAGTCGACAGCATGCAAGCGTCGTCGGCCTTATGTCGACGTATTAGTATTCAGAGTTGAAGCGTGGATTAGGTCTTCGCAAAGTACAAGGTCCGCCCACCGAGTTAAATGGAAGAAATCGTGATGTTTACACAAGAAAACGCATCTTGTGAACATTTTTAGGACACCTTTTATTTTGTATACGGTAAAGAGAAGTAATAATTGAGGTTACGGCACATAGTTCTTCACGGACGTTTGTTAATATTGGCAGTTTTGAAATGAAGTTTAGAAATCCAATCGCGAGTTTACACATAGTTGTAGTTTGGTGTATTGTTGGTGTTGCTTAGCGTTATATGGCGTGCAACCAACAAGATACGCTAATTATCAAACATAACCAATTCGACTATTTCAAATTTTATATTGACTATCAATTTTAAAGGATAATAATTAATTAAATTATTGTCCTTTAAAATTCTATTTTTATAGTGCTGTTCTCTGCACTTGATGAAATTTAAAAATTTGTGGAGAAACGGACAAGTTTTTCGCCCTTGCGAACATTTCTTAAACATGTATACAAAAAAAAGTAGTTAAAATACTTTGAGTTTTTAGTCCGTGTGAAAATAAGCCGTTTAGCTCAGTATTATATGATATGCTTGTTTTCCCGAATAAATAAATAAATCTAGAGCGTCGGGCGCGTTTCCCGCAGTACACAGGTTCAAATCCTCTCGATTACGAAGAAAATTAATGTCCATTAAAATTTTTAGCAGCAAAGGTGCTATCTCTAGTTTTCAAATATTTTGTTATAAAATTTTGTATGAAACAGTCGTCGTTTTCTGAAAAAGGAGCACACTTAAAACCACTTAAAACATTGCTTAAAATTGCAATAAAAAAGTAGATAAAATACATCATATAGCTCAGTTGTGCGTACAATCCTCGCAAAATTAAGAAACAATTGTCACCGTTATAACTCAAAAACTAAAAAAAAAAAAACATCCTACACCTACGCACGTCTTAGCTACACACAATTGCGTGGATCATTCTTTATTATTATATTATATTTCACTGACAGTTATCACGCGCCTTGAAACAAAAATGAACTTGTTTGTTAGTTCAACTAGGTCTACATCCCTAAATAAGCTTCGCGGTACGGTTTATAAGTCGTCACGGTATAGTTTTTCGTTATGTCATTTTGGTGCGACAATAATGATTTCATATTTATTTGCGTCTCATTGGTCACATATTTTTATATTTACATTTCAACTCATCAAAATCTATACGATTGCCGTTGCCCTAAATTATGAAATTTGCTGTATAAGGTACATTCTATTTTTAGTTTTCCCATATTTTAGTGTTTAATTTATAATTATTACTTATTACTCATATCATTAATCAAGAACTTTTATTTATACTACTGTGGTTGGGCCATGCAGTAGTATCGCGCAAGCTCGTCCGGGTAAGCACTATGGCTTTACTGAAGACAGGCGTTAAGTGAAAGTATTATTCTTTGGCGTTTGGTGAGTGAGGTAACTGGGGCCAACTTTAGTGAAGGTCGGCATGGCGGTGATAACTTAACACGAGGCCCGTTTACAACTTACACAAAGACTGCCCGGAACCCTCAAAACGCTAATGGTTGGCAAACGAGCTGTTCTAGACGTCCATGGCGGTGATAAATTTACATGAGAGGTCCGCCTGCTTGCTTGCCAACTCATCACATGAAAGTTTCTTAACTTTCGCAATGTTTTCATCACCGAGTGCAACTGCTGATCTGGTTCGTCGCTTTTGGTGCCCTGTGACTGAGTTATCAATGCTCGGTTCCAGGTCGCACACTTCGATGGGGTCACCCTATTTCATATTTCACTATCGCCGCATTTAATAAATAATCGGCTCGCGTTACCCATATTAGCACATAGCTAATGATCTCATTAATACTTGATGACGCGATCCGTTGTTTTTCAGTTAGGCCGATCAGATGTATTCCGTCGTTTTAATTAGGGAAATAGTCTTAGGTTTATATTTTTTTCTTGTGACTGTGGGTTATATTTTAATTGTGGCTTCAATTGTGCCTTTTCAGTTATATAGACCCCGAGAGCCAGAAATGTTGCTTATTTTTAAACGTGCCATTTTAATGACTTTATTGCATTTGAATGTCAACCAATATGCAAATTTATGGTAAAAATTTGTATAAAATACGTATGAATCAATCACACTCAGGGACAGTAAAACTATAGCTTAAACGTCACTGAACATCTGGATGTTACTCTGTCTATAGTTTATGTCTATGCCCTGTTAATCTTGGTCTATGGTCTTTTTTTATACGCGGTCTTCATTACCGAAGGTCGTGTCCTGGTCGTGAAAAGCTTTGACGGAATAAGCCACAAGCTGCTTTCACCCCACTCCGTCTTCGGCTTTCTTCAGGGCAGTGGAAACAGGACGCCCGGTGATCAGTTTTATTTGATCAGACCACGGTGCTAGGGCCACGAAACAGCCTACCTAAAGTGGTAGTATAATACTTTCGCGTTTCGTCTGGTGAGTGAGGTGGCCGGAGCCCAATTTTCAAAAGGTTGTCAACGCATCTGTAACCCTCGGATGTAGCAGATGTCCATGGGCGGCGGTATTCACTTAACATCAGGTGAACCGTCTGCTCGCTTGGCAACTTTTCACATAAAAAAAACCAACGGGTCTTTTTTGTGATCGGGGTGTAAATAATCGCTAGGGGTATAACCTGACCGTTACGACTTAGGGACCTTCAGAAAGACTGCTTATTCGTACCACAAAGGATGGCTACGCATTAGTAAAGTTTTCTTGCGTTGTCCATGCTACGGTGATATTATGCATCTTTTTCAATGAAAAGAATGTGGTAAACGACCCTATAAGATTGCGTTTGCGCTCTTAGTTAAGACACGGTTACTTCACTGAAAAGGAACAAATGCAAATACATTAATGAAATTTAAATTCTAATCATACTTTAAAGAAATTGTTGTTTTTTAATAAGAATTAAACTTCTTTAAACGGAACAAATGCATCCCTCTGGCCGTTATCCCAAGGAATGACATGTCAATCAAGTTGTTAATGGTCTAGAGTTTTACGACCGACTGTCCGGTCTGGCAGGCGGTCTTGCGTGAAGCCGATGACTCAGCCCGTGCAGGCTGAATAGGTCACACAGCAAGAAGGTCAAACACGTCTCAATTTATTACACCTGGATCTTTTGAACTGTATAAGGTTCAGCCGGTTAATGTGGGACGTTATTTTATATTTCATCTTACCATCAGGTGGGATGGCAGTCAAGTGCTGTACAGTTTTGAATTTAAAAAATGATTGTATATTTACTAGCTGCTGCCCGCGACTAGTTACGCTTCAGCCTACCTACGTCTGCGTAGAATAGGCTGAAGGCGTAACATTCAGACAGTAAGACATATATACATAAAATGATATATATAAATTATAGCCTATGTTTTATTCTGATGTATAAGCTATATTATTGTACAGTTTAATTAAAATCCATTCAGTAGTATTTGCGTGAAGGAGTAACAAACATCCATCCATACATACCAACTTTCGCCTATATAATATTAGTAAGGATAATAAGGATGATGTAATGTTCAAAAAGGATTTACCATATCGAGCGAAATTCGTGGCCACCACGTGCATGGTAACGTTGATAAAATAAATTTTTGTGCCGCCACGAATTGGGTGCGATTCGCGATAAGAGACACGACCGGTCAATGTTTGCCAGAGCCATTGCCACCCATCGGCATTTCGCGAGCTGTTGTGCAATGTAATGTCACCACTTGACGTTTTCATGGACAATTCGCGCTAAACAATTCACACTTTACTCGAAGTTTTCGTTTAGCATGAAATAACATTTTCATTAACAAAAAACAAAACCGGCCCCAAATAACTCACTTACTGTACATTTCATGTTCGCTTTTGAGGAGTTGCCTGGTTTATGGTCGAATACTGAGGTCCAATAGGATGTAAAATGGGACCTACAAAAAAAAATGTCCCTTTCTAACAAAAGAAGAATTTTACAAATTGATTTGTAAATGACGGAAGATCTGCATTAAAAATACTAAGTAAATTACAATTCTGCTATTTATTTTTTTCCGCGAAAACCATATTAAAATACATAACCCTATACTATATATATATTATAGGTTCCACAACTGAAACGAATTTAATAACACCTCATATGTTGGATCCGTCAAAAAGTTCAAGTTTATATAGTTCAACTAGTATAGTGGACTGAGATTGAACAGGCTTGTTTCACTCGGAGTCTCTAGTGTAGAATAGCGCTCAGCTCATTGAGCAATCTAGTAGATGTATTTGCCTGCCTTGGGGTCACGGAGACCTCAACGCTTTGAAAGGAGTAGCCGAGTAGAGAACCTGTGCGTTGCGTAGGAGATCGCAGAGACCTCAACGCACTGATTATGAGGCACTGTGTCTTTTGAATACAATCCCTCACGTAAAAAATATTGGTTTGAACAAGAACAACAGTTGATGGTTAACAAAATTGTGTGCAGTCAATAAATATTCCACAAATCATTATTTAGGTGACTGAGTTAGTTTTCGTTTTAAACATAGCTAAAATGTTGACATAAAAGGCCTATTTGATGCATTTTACCAACTAGCCCGTGCGTTGCAATGTTTTGTCGACTTTCGTAATAATATTTTAACCGACTTCAAAAAAAGGAGGTTCTTAATTTGACAATTTTTTTTAATCGTAAAACTTTTTTTTCTTATATTCATCGTTAGTGGTCGATGTGCTCCAAGTCGACACAGTCTACCAACAGGCAAAGAAAGCCTTGAAGATATCGAAATGTGTCTGCATTACGTAATGTCGAATCTCGTTATCAGTTTATAGGCCTACGATAGACGTACAAAAGCGCGTATTAGTCGACGTATTGAAATACATTGTGAGGAAATGTTCGCGACTGATTATGTACAGAAAATTTGTTTGCACATATTGTTACTGTCGTGAAATACGTCGTGTCGCCTGT